TAATTATTTTTTTTAATTCAGCTTTTTAAATCGCTGCAAAATCACTTTATTTTTGGCTGTTGTAGTTTTTTTTTATGTCTTTTGTTAATTGTCTCTTTTTCGACTTTATGTTTTATTTTTCAACTTTTTTGCTTCACTTTGCTGTCAATTATTTAATTGATTTGATTATATATTTATCCTATGGTAATCACGTGGTCCACATACTCTTGGTAAGTAAGTTGGTGCAAGTTGTACAACCGAGTATATACATAGTTTTGTTGTCAATTATTTAGCTATCGTATGTTTTTCCTCGTCGCCAGTTTTGTTACCAGTTAGGATGATACTCTTGTATCGATCCTGGATGACTGCTTTTTATTTTTCGTTTGGTATTTCTTATGCAGATTACATGCATCCTAGAACTGATAAAACTGAACATGTGCACGCAGGCACTTGTACATATGTTTAGTTGGTGTTGGGAGTGTATGCCAATATGTGACTATATATGTACATATGTATTCTATTTTAATAAAGTATCGCCTTATTATATTGTAATAAATGTTATTTTTAGAGTGCGGTTCTGTGCGCCTTTTATCGCGCATACGTGATCCACACTCTCAGGATTTTTACCTAGCAGAACAGCTAAGATCTCAGTTATTTGTCAATATTGAAATTTTTACATTTGAATCTGTATAAATTGTTTTTTGCTTCATTTTTACTTTGCTTCATTTACTGAATGTTTAATCTAATACATTTCTCTTGTGTTTTAAAACATGAGCTCATCAAGAAAAATGTGAAGATATAGTACTGATTTATTTTGTTACCGTAATAAAGTACAATATATGTACATATGTAGTATCTAACAAAGCAAGTAATGAAAAGCTAGAGGCCCAGTTATGCATACATATGCTGACGCTTTCCACATCTCCCCGAGCATGCGTTTGCCTACAAGCGTCTTTTCGCGACGATGGCAAAAGCTAGAAATTATAAATTCAACAACTTTCTGATATTCCCTCTAGAAGGGAAAAGTGACAACTTAAAAGGGAATATTTTCAATAAAAGGGAATATTTTTCAAATGGCATATCAATATTCCCAGTTTGCATACATATAATATCAGAGAATGTTAATGAATAGAGAAGGAGAAAAGGTTAAATGAAATCTTTTTGAGTACTAATTTGTAATTCCAGATGAGGGAACATCGAAAAATATAACAATGTCCGCGCGATTTTAGCTGTACTAAAATGTTAATTAAGATGAGGGAACATCGAAAACGCGCAAGTTCGAAAATCAAATTTCACCATCCTATCAGGCGACGCAATGAATTACACCACTCTATAAGCAAAATGTATATACATACATATGCACATATGTTCTTTGGTATGTGCATAAACAAAAAATTAAATAATAAAAAGGAAAATAATTGATTTCTGACAAGAAAATATAAATAATGAGGGAAATAATATGAAAACATAATTAAAATATCATTTAATAAAAAAGGGTTATAAAAATAAAAAAAGAGTATAAAAAAATATCTGATAGGATTTGAACTTAGGCAAAATATTTCACGTTGCAATAAGGAAGATTTCTATACAAACAGCACCACAGGCGATATTCAAGCCATTTTGTCCAATCTGTGAACTCAAACAACTATTATTGTTTACTTGCTTCAAATGTTCATATGTCCATATGGTAATATTCTTGAAATTGCCTTCCTTCATTCGCATGTCCAAATATATTAGCATGTATGTCCCTCAATATGTGTTTCGCAAAAAATCAAACATTCGCGCAAGTGACAAAAAACGTAGACGCACCATCATCGGCCAATAATATTCAAGCGAACTCGCGGCTTATTTTCTAAGTATTTCATATACAACGACAACAATTCATTTATAAGGAACGTGCGTCTGCTTCCAAGCAAAGTGCGTTCGTTCATAACTCTGCGTCGCGCAATTTTATCTGTGCGCCTGGTAAACCACATTCTACCATTCCCATCACATTTGTATTTTGCCCACAAGGTGCCTCCTCACAGCATTTGCTAAAAATCGGAAATTAAAGAATTTGTCTGATGTTGCCTTCAGGAGAATTGGCGAGTTAAAATAATATTTTAATTTTTTTCATATTGCACTATATATGGCATTAAATTATAAAATTTATATAAAATTGACATTTATATGAAATCAATAACTACTTCTATATATTCTAAGCACACTCCATATAGTACTTTTATATGTTTACTTATTATCATTATTTCATAGTTTGTCGATTTAGCCCATTTATTTTATCTAAATACGACGCTATGAAAATGCAGCCCAATCGGTAATCGCAATATTTCAAAAGAGCATAAGTCAACTTTCAATAGCAAACCACTGCAAAAGGACAAACGAGACAACATAGCCGACCGACATTGTCGATTCAAACAAATTTTGTCAACTCCGCCAGATGCGCAAAATTCGCCGTCAATATGTATGCGAGCTCATATGTATATATGTATGTTTATAGACAAAGTCGTCATTTGATTTTTTTCAACAACACAATATCCCCGCGAACTCGCCGTTATTTCGTTGGCTTGCCACCATGCACAGAGGCGTGTCAAGTGAAGGCTCATAATATATTAATATGTTGCTTAATTTGAATTGAAAAATACTGATGCATTAATGACTCATTGACGTAATATAATTAATAGATACGTAAAAATATAAATACAAATAAATTCATACCTATAATCGTTTTTAAAATATATATCTGATATAATTATGTGGCAGTGCGCCTCTGACCCCTTCTTACTTGTGATCGTTCAACTTGCTTCTCACAAAAAGCAAAAAGTGTTGACAAAAGTCATTGCTTGTGCGGGGCAAGAAGAAGCAAGCATCAGCGTACGTGCATTTAAGAATGTATGTGTGAGTATCACATTTGTGTAAATACGCATAATAAGGTAATATTTAATAAACCTAAACATATGAATATTTTCCTGATATTTTTTAATTATATCTGGAAATAAAGTATGCTATTAAAGAAATTAAATTATGATATGCTTAGACTCCAATTAATAAAAAAAAAAAATTAAAAAAATTTAATTAAATTAATTTTAATTTACATGAGTTGTAGGACTCGAACTTATATGCTCGTATTCGGAATGAACTTAACTCCTTCGCGCTTACGACCTAAGCCACCACAAAAGTGGAAATGAGGCCGCTTAGCCACCGTTTTACTGTTATCCTTTGCTCAATAAGCAATTGCTCACGCTACGCACATACATAAGTTGGAAAAATTGCCCATTAAATGTTTATTTTATTATGAATTCTGGGGTTTTTACCGGTAATACAGATTTTTAATCCAGAAGGCTTTTCATAATTATAAATTTGTCATATCATGGAAATTGAAAACATAACTATATCTAAATTTGAATATTCGTTGTGTCTATTTATAGCATTTCGAACATTGCGTGGTGTATTTTTCTTTTTCGAAGTTATATTTTTCGATGTTCCCTCATCTGGAATTACAAATTAGTACTCAAAAAGATTTCATTTAACATTTGCTCCTTATCTATTCATTTACGTTCTGTGACCATACAAAATTAAATTTGCCCCTTCTCGTTCTTCTAAGTTGTCTGGTTATACTACCTAAACTCACATACAGTGTAAAAATAAATTAAATTAAATGATAACACTTTTGAAATATTACTCTTATTTGAAAACGAATTTTTTAACAGTTCATGACGGTTTAACATAATATAAAAAGAATTTTTTGTCTTACTTGTCTTATATCTATTTGATTTTTATTATGAATATGTGTGTACCCAATTTATTGGGTCGCACACGCCATTGTTTTATTTATTTCAAAAGAAAACCACGCGTGAATTTTGTTCAAAAGAATTTATTGTAAAAATTAAACTCAGTAATTTTATACATTAAGGTATTTTATTAGATGTTTTGAGAACTATGTACGTTAACAACCATGCATAAGAGATTATTATTCTAAAATCGATTTCGATAGTCAGCGATTTGTGAGACAAAATTTGGCTTAGATTTATAGAAATTTGTTAGTCAGATTTCAAAATATCTAAATGAAATTTAAGAAAAAGATGTTCTCTAAGTTCCATTTTGTTAACTCATACATATATCGACCGATACATATGGTGTAAAGTCAACATGAATTTTGAAAATGATTATATTAAAAATATGAGGTTCGTAGTCCATTGATAGCATTGATCCGATTTCACATTTTTTTGGCACCAAGACACATTATTGCCAGGAAAAGACGTTCTCTAAATTTTATTGTACAATTTAGAGAATGATACTTTCGGTATAAAATCAGTTATATTCACTGGAGTCCACATATTCGGTATTAGAGCGCGTGTTTGATTTGTGTACTGTAATGTGAAAATATCAGAGGTAATTTAAAATTATTTATGTGGGAAGTAGGCGTGGTTGCATTCCGATTTCACACTTTTTCATACATACGTGGGTAGTTTCTCGCCCATTGTGCAATTTTTTGCCTTTTCCAATGAAGTTCTTCAGTTTTCAACATAACCGTTATATAGGCGTGGTTACTATTGAATATCCCCCATTTTTGCATCCACTGAGGGGATGAGAGAGAGAGAGAGGTTTGTGAAATTTGTACATTAAACCTTAAGAGGCAGAGCTGCGCCCACCTTTTAAAAATTATCAGCCGACATGTGCCCCTCACTACTTTATACTTCAATTTGGAGCCTTGTTATAGCACCTTGTAGGTTTTCGTTTAACAGCATTTTGCGGGCGTAGCAGTAGTCCGCTTCCGCCACCTACTTCCCTTGGATGCCAAGGGACACGTGAACCATTTTAGTTACGTTATGGCTCGGAAATTAACTTGTCTTGTCATACTGATCATTTATATATACGAACAACCGTTAGGTGAACAAAACGATCATTTTCTGTAGCAACATGTTGCGGAAGTATAACAAGAAACAATAAATTCTAAATGCTAATATTACACCTACTACCTACTAAAAAATTTAAATATGTTGTCATTCCGGAACAATACTTACCTTCCTCATCCGTAATTCTTTGGCCGCTGCGTTACGCAAAGGATCAAATATACTGAATTTCAGAATAGGACGCTTTACTTCTTGTTTGCGAATATCAAATATTCTATTGATTTCTTCAATAAGTTTATCAAATTGCTTCCTGACTTTGTGTTCATGCTTTAGTTCTTCTAATAAAAGCTTGTATAGTTCCAAAGGCGTGGGATCAGGATCGGAAAGGTTTGCCTAAAATTTAAAACATGTGTATTTGTAGATAACAAATTGTTTGAAATTGGAAGGAAATTAACAACATCATAAATTTTTGACAGCAACTCACTATGTACTTCGCCACAAAAACCGCGGCCCGGCCAATAACAACTTAAACCCGCTGGAGGAGCGGAAGGTCGAGCACGATCTAGGTGAGATCCTAGAGGCCACCCTAAACTCTATAATGCAGAAACGGAGATGCAACCCTACCCCGAGAAGAAGCCTGACCTTAGCAGTTCTTCCGATAAACCGTTATAAAAGCAAGATCGCCTCTGCCGAGCTCCTTCTAAATTTAGTGAGGATCGGCTGCGATGCGGCTTTAAGTATAAGTGCTTTAGTTCAAGAACCATGGATAGGCTCGGTAAACATGGTATCGGGACTTAAGTCACCGTCATACTACACATACTTACATTCCCACAAACAAGTTAATAACTGTTATACTGGTAAGGAAACGTATGCATTCATATATAATATTAACCCAAATTTATTAACAGATGCCCTGACAGTAGTGGCTGTAAAGCATGGCAAGAATGAGACACTACTTCTTGCATCCTGTTACATACCTTACGATGACTAAGCGCCACCAGTGGAACTCCGAAATTCGGTAGATCCGACTGAAAAATCGAAAAGACCCCTGGTGATAGGCGCTGAGGCCAATGCAAACATGTCCTTAGAAGCAGGGAGACAGTAGAAATAGTGGCTGCCGGAGTGCGGCTGCATATATACTGGGTTCCAAGCCACAAGGGCGTTCCGGGAAACGAAATAGTTGATGAGCTAGCCAAAAGTGCCATCCGCTTGACTACCGAACCAGTTCAAAAAATACGCAAATCGTTAAAAATTATACACAACGAAATGTTCGAAAGCGCTGGCATACGGATCAGGGTGAATGCCTTAGGAGCTTGCAGTATCGCCAAGATCATGAGCTGAAAGAAAACTCGCAAGCTTTCTACTCACATGGTCTCGAAAAGACTGCAGGACGGATGTTGGCCTATTCACAGGTCACAACTTACTGGCATCACTTGCGAGTCGTATGGGCATTATTAACGATGACACATGTAGAAATTGCAGAGAAGACTCTATAAAAATTCGCAAAAAGCGTTAACGTCCTGCGCGACGTTAACTTCAGCTCGTATTAAAAAACTTCCATCTGGCAAAGGACCTTTAGGTCTATGTATGACGTGACAGTCAGCCAGTTTAACCCGACCTTATTATATAATCAGAACTTATATTAAATATTTCCTTAAAATTATCAATTTATCTCTTATTCTGCCTAACATATGCAATATAGATGCAACTGTAGATTTAGAGATCACCGTATTTGGTATTTGGTGCAGTGTTACCACTAGAGAAAATCTCTGGGTACCAAAATGCCTACCAAATCTGTTGCAAAACTACAAAATTTTCTCCTCCTCTCCGCTACTGTTTAACTTCTGTATTTCGACTCCCTCAATCACCAGAAGGAATTTCAATCATCTCATATGCAGATGATGGCACGATTGACGTCAGACAATGTAATCGATGACATGTGTTCGAAATTAAACAGCTATCTTACCGATCTTTCTCGCATCTTCTCCGCAAGGGGCCTGACACCCTCTCCTTCCAAATCCATAGCGACCACATTCTCGAACTGGACGAAGGAGTACATACTTTATCTTAAATTTTTGGCTGTGAATTTTTGTATTTTTATGTTACGAAAATCTTCCATATTAATAATTTGTATTTATATTTATATAGTGATTTAATGAATATTTAGTGATTTGATTTTGAATTGCAAGCTAAGTATAAGTGCTCTTAAGTTTTGTGCATTATCTTAAAGCTTAAATATTCGAATTTTGGGGCCGAGTCAGCTTTTGTTTCCCTTTCTTTTATTTTACGCTTTGTTTTATTTTAGTTTCTCTATTTATTTATCTCATCTACTTCTCTATTCACAGCTGTGTTGCGTGTAGTTTTTTATTTGTTCCAGTGCATCTAAAACTTTTCGTTATATTGTTTTTTCAAACAGTCTTAGTTTTGAAAAAACATTCTTATTATTTTTGTGTTTGTTTTTAATTGTAATTATTAATATTAATATAATATTTTATTTACCTCATAATTTATTATATTTCTATTAGTTTTTGTTTTACTTACTTTTTTTTGATCTTCTTTTAATCTTTGTTGTTTAGCATGTCTGTGTAAGTTTCCCAACTGTAACATTAAAGGCGAGTCAGATCGCTACGATTCAACCTGGCTTTGTGATGGGTTTGCCAATATTAACACTAGGTTTACGGGAATTTGACGAAATTCAAACTTTGCAATGAAATATCTCGAAACCCGCTCAATCGATAGAAAGCACTAAGAGCCCCAACTCATTATCTCAATAGCGCCTCTATAAGTAACTACTCACCGAGAAAACGAATGTAAGAAATGACAGTCCACACCAAACGAGCGATTTGGGCACGTTATTTTTTACTTTCACTGATTACCCTTTTCTAGCAATTTTGAGTAGAAACATGATATATTAGGTAAAGTAAAAAGTTCGTTCGGTTTTTATCTAAGAGATGGCGTTATTGTCCATAGTACTAGTGTTACGTGTCGCATCATGTCATACTATACGGCGCTGAAAACGTGTTTATTCACGCTAAAAGTTTGTCTTTGACAGATTTCGATTGATTGACTCAGTACTCAGATGCACCACGTGTTGGAAGGCCTGTCGTCGAAAATTGCGATAAAATCATGGAAATAGTGGAAACAGACCGTCACGTGAGCACTTATTTAATTGCTGAGGAACTAAAGATAAGCCAGAAAACCGTTTGGAACCATTTGCATAACCTTGGATTCAAAAAGAAGCTCGATGTTTGGGTGCCACACGAACTAACGCAAAAAAACATGATGAACTGAATTTCCATCTGCGAATCGCTGCAGAATCGCAACAAAATCGACCCGTTTCTGAAGCGGATTGTGACTGGCGATGAAAAATGGGTCACTTACGGTAACATCGAGCGCAAACGGTCGTGGTCAAAGCTCGGGGAAGCGGCTCAGACGGTGGCCAAGACCGGATTGACGACCAAGAAGGTTTTGCTGTGTGTTTGGCAAGGAATCATCTACTACGAGCTGCTCCCATATGGCCAAACGCTCAATTCGGCCCTCTACTGCCAACAACTGGACCGCTTGAAGGCAGCACTCATTCAGAAGAGGCCATCTTTGATCAACAGAGGCCGAATTGTGTTCCATCAGGACAACGCCAATCGGATGGGAGGTCCTAATGCACCCACCTTATAGTCCGGACTTGGCACCAAGTGATTACCATCTTTTCCTGTCCATGGCGAACGCGCTTAATGGTGAGAAGTTAGCCTCAAGAGAGGCCTGTGAAAATTGGCTCTTCGAGTTTTTTGCCAATAGGGACGCAGCCTTCTACGAGAGGGGTATAATGAAGTTGGCAACAAGTTTATGAACAAAACGGCACATATTTGACTTAAATCGGACAAATGCACTTTTTACTTTACTAATATAATAAGAAATTGACCAAAATAATCAACATCAATGAGGAGTGTTCTAAGGTGTCCTCTGAAGAAGATCAATATGAATTAGGTGAAAGTGATGAATTCAGTGAAGATTCTGAACCCACTTAAACTGCAGAAATGGAGCGATTCTCCGGTACTGAAGACGAAAACTTCTTCAATATTCGTCGTAACAAGAAAAGAGCACGTCTAGTCCTGACACCGAGGATGAGAGGACGAGTATTCCAAGTACATCCCGAGATGTAAAGGAAGAAATTGAAATTGCAGTTGACGGGACACGGCAGGAACACAGGGAAATCTATGGGTAGGCCGTCCGTTCATACTATATTCAAGGCTATCGTAGGACCTACTGGTTACGGAAAATGAAATATTATGTTGGGTTGTGTAACTGTGAATTTATAATTGATAATATGGTCAAAAAAATGGAGTCCTTTTTTTCCGAGACACAATGACCAGAGATAGATTTATACAAATTCTGAGATTTATACGCTTTGATAAACGAACCGAACGATCCGAAAGGTTAAAAAGCGATATATTTGCACTCATTCTGAACTATGGAACAGATTTATGAGTAAAAGCCAGGCTTGTTATAAACCATATTAAAAAAACACAGTGGATGAACAACTGTTTTCAACTAAAGCCCGAGTAGTGTCATCAGATGACTCCACCACTCCTAAGCCAAAAATAAGTATATTTCAACATGTATCATATCAACTTGTATAGGCACTATATATTGTAATATGCTATTGCAATAGCATAATAAAATTAGATGCCACCGTTGGATATATACATACATACAAGTATATGTATATAAACATATATTTCATACTAATATCATATTACACAAAATAAATCCGAGAAATCCTCAATATATAGCCAGCTTTGAAAATTAAAAACCCTTATCTCATCACATAAAATTTTAAAGTTTACTGAATATGACAAGAAATATAGAATTACCACGGATGCAAGCGATTACGCTATTGGAGCTGTTCTTTCACAGCAAGGCCAACCAATATGCTTTATCTCAAGAACATTAAACAATCATGAGCATAAATATGCGATGAGAGACAAAGAATTCCTTGCAATCATGTATGCAGTAACTTATTTTAGACCATACATATACGGAGCAAAATTTAAGATAGTAACTGATCACTGCTCGATTAAGTATCTAAATAACAGGTACAATATAAAGGGAAAGAATTTGCACCACGCCATCAAAAGTGTAAAGGGTAAAGATAACGTAGTAGCGGACTTCCTAAGTCGAATTCAAAATTCGCCTAAAATAAGAGAAGGGAACGACGATGAATCAAATTTAGAAATGTCGGATACAGTACATTCTGCAGAAGAAGAACTGCTAAAACACTTTGTAATCAAGGAAGAAACTGTAAATAAATACAAAATTCAAATTATATTGACACATAGCCCAAAAACTCAGATGCAAAGACTCCATGGCAGAAAAATAATTGAAATAAACCCAATCGA